TTAAGATATTGCTGATTGAATTTTCCCCCACTCCTAAAATTCTTCATTTTCGCGTATATAGAGGTACGGTGTGCCTCGCACAGTTCGGGCGCACTGCGCGCGCGTGAACTTGGCGCGAGGCACTACCGTGCCTCTTGATTTTGTAGGTATTTACTTTTGTAATATAGTAAAAGTAAACGTATTCATAAAGTTTGACAAAAATATATATAAAAGCGGAACAGTTTGCCTAATAGTATATATGTTTACAAAAGTATCTCCACCTGTGTGATAATATTGTACTCATACGTGAATACTTTAGACCAGGTGCTACAGCACATGCATGACATAGTCCGTTTATTTTTTTGTTTATCGTAAAATTATAAATATCTAATTTGGTAGATTTCAAAGAAAGAAAAAGATGCAGTAATTCTCCATTATACCAAAAATACTGTGTGTAGGAAAATTAGGAATCTGTAGATATATTTGGCACACATTCACAGTAAGACGCAAATAGTGTGTCACTCCAAGATGAACAAAGATAAAACTGACAGATAAAATGGCACACTATAGGCTGAAATAAGAAGATGTGGGAACAGCAGTTAAAATTTAAAAAGAATGGTTATGTGCCGGACTTACAGTATTGTGTTTCAGCTCCTATAAGACGAACAAAATACACGTGTGGTACATCTCTCGACGACATATCGGAACTTCAAGTTCTTCACAATCGCCGTTAGTAGTACTAAACGTAAGCATATCACAAATAAAATGTTATTTAATTTTTTAGATGTAAATTTGTCTTTTTTCTCTTTTTCTCAATATTAATTGTTTTTCATATAAAAATACAAAAAATGAAGAAAAATGAACCCGGATAAACCTTCGACTTCTTTCGAAGGCAAACCTAGCCAAAGAACCCACAGTAATATAGATCTTGAAGTAGAAGGTGATAAAAAAAATCAGCTTCACCACGATGTACCGATACAAGACAAAAAAACAAACGAACAACAAACAACAAATATTCTTGACTTTCCAGATGAAGTTCTTCTTTGTATATTGAAAAATGTAGACATAAGCGACTTGAAGAATCTTCGATTGTGAGTTGTTTTCTTTACGGGAGGCGAGTGATAAATAAATATCCGAAACTGCAGAGATCGCGACAGTAGTAGGACATTGGTGTTGTTGACAAACTGTATCTTTTAGAAACACAAGCTTATTAGTATACGTAATGTTTGCGTGACAGTGCGTCAAACTATAAATAGTCAATTGAAATAATATCAATCGCCTCTCTTTAAAATAACATACTTATATTATATATGTTTTAAGTTTTAAATAGGTTGTGTTGGAATTAATTTATTATAGATGTTGCACAAGACTTTCAAGACTAGCGGAAGATAAATTTTTATGGAAGTTGGACTATCGCAAAAAACCTATTCTTGTTTCTCAAATGTTGCCGTATGATACCTTCTTAGAACCTTTAACACACACCTTAGCAATACGTGGAGATTTCGATCAAGACTGGAAAAATCTGCTTAGCTGTTTTTTTTTTTCTGAAATAAAACAAATATGCCAAGTTCTTAACACATTGATTATCGAGGATTTTTATATATCTGTAGAGGAGGTATATATTACTATTTAATATTGAGATTGAAAATATTGAGACAGTACGTATATATACAACAATCAGCTAAATAATAAATTATGAGGAGAATATAATACGATAGTTTCTTTACTTGCTTTCTTATGCGGTGTGATTTTAGAGTCGCTAGGTTTAAGTGGTAGTACATTTCTAATGCTAGAATAAAATGCGTTAGTCCTTCGGTACTCAATCGCGTACAGTAATTACATCATTACAGTTTGTTACGTGTAAATACTTTTCGAGTGATAATACTAATAATTGTGTGGTATGTCATCAAACATTTCTGTACCAACTATTGCTAACAAAGTACAGTGAACATTTTTGTAGTACTACTTTGCGAGACACACTCTTTGTAAAGCATATTTGTTAAAATGTCTTTTTCTCAGATTTGTTACAAAAACATGTCAATTTATTACAATTGTTTTAGATTATGCCATCGTTGGCAACAACTATTGAAGAGCTTCAAATCATCAATTGTAGATCTTATCACAATGTTCAGGACTTTCAGCCGGTGCGCTTTGTTCGTGGAATATGTTATTTCGTGCCCTATATAAAAGTAAGATAGTGTACTATACTATATACACACACATTTCTTAAACCGACACAATAGTAAATTACAAATATAAACAAATATAACTACAGCGCTTGACTTTCAAGAAAGTTTTATGTGATTTGGAAGGGTCACTTGTGACATATATAAGCAACCTTACAGAACTTGAGGAACTTAGCTTTATTTCATGTTTTCGCATAAAGGAATTTCGTCGAAACATAGATGTTTCTTCCCAGTATAAATGCCAAAAACTAAAGGTATTTTTTATTTGAAAACATTAATAAACAAAGTACTACACATTTTATCTACTTTTACTGCGAAAATAACACTTTTCTAAAGACGTGGTTTATTTTTTTAAAATTTTTTAAATAGATTCTAGACTTTCGCAACACAGCAGTTGAGGATAGGCTAGTTGAATGGTTTTGTCACATTAAATCTTTAGAGGAACTGTATCTAGAATGCCCTAAATTTTTAAGGAAAGAATGGTCATTTCGATTATTACAAGAGTTAGAAAACATTGGATACAGACAAAACATTTCTTTGATTCAATATGATGAAATGCTTCAGGTGTTGTTAGATGCAGAAGTATGTTTTCTAAATTTTAGCATTTTTTCTTTGTTTTTTAAATAAACACACACGCTTGCGCGCAATAAACAATAGTGGTAACACATTCAACAAGTTGTTATTGCGTATTGTATGATTAAATAGCTTATTTTGATTTAGCGTCGTTCTGATAACAGAGTTGAAATAATTGGTGTGAGAGACGAAACATTTCGGCACTATTTATTGTCAAAAATCAGTGACTATATAATTAAATGTAATAATTTGAAAAAATTACATATTAGGTAAGTAAGAATTGTAGAAAACAAAAAAGCGAACATATTTTAAATAATGATGGTTTTATTTCAGACATTATTGGCGTGTTACTAGAACAAATATTGATAGAATAGCTACGACATTACCAAACTTGATAGAGTTGGATATAACTGGTTGTTGTGTAACTCTAGAAGATGTTAAACATTTTGAATCGCAAAGACCTAATGTTCAAACGTATTCATCATTTAGTGAATCACATGACAAATATAAATCTTCGAGTGTATAAGTATTCAGACGAAGTTAATGTGACTTTAGAGTATAAAAGAAACGAGGTAAAAACGAGAATCGTTACCTATCCTAATAAAAAATAGTACTTGACAATCTGCAAGTTTCTGAGTACTTATAACAAANCTGTACATAACGTACAAAAGAGTAACAAAAGAGTAATTATGCAAGAAAATCACATTTACGTGTAATTGTAATAATTGTACCTGCAAATATAATTATTACTAAATTTAGTGACATTGTAAGGTATTTTTATATGAGAACATAGACGCTAATAGACTTAAGATGTGAGAGAGAATAAAAACAAAACTATTTTATGTCAATTTTTATAAAACAGATAAAAGATAATCAAGTTTAGGTATCTGTTTATTGAGTTCAAACTAAACAATTGATGTTCTGACAATATAGCTACAATAGAAACGCAATTACAAAAAGTCTTACCGTATAGTTAAGATTTGGTTAATATTTATTACGTTGTAAGTTTGCAGATGAGCAGACTTGTTTATTGACTTGTTTACGATAAATTGTGATAATCTGAAAATAAACTTAAGATTCATGCATCTTAATTTAAAAGATTACGCTGAAATTGCTTGCACTACAAAAACATTTTTGTACCTCGGAAACATCAGTATAAACATAAAATTAAGTATGAAACAAACAACAGTGTGTTTTTTTTATAAGCACCTTTATAGTTTAAAAATCACATTTAAAAAATGACCATAAAAATTTGTTTTTTTTTCCTCGTCGAACTACAAATATTTGACTAATATAAGCAACAACTGTACTGTAAACTTGTTTAGTACATCGGAATTTTATTATGAGTAGAACAAGTAGGAATTTATTGGTGTGCAATCATGTTACTACAAATCAAGAGAAAGAAGAATAATAGAGGAGATCGTGTGTTCTGTATGTTCACAGCACCTAAAGCTGCAGGTTAGGTACATACAGTCATATTGAAATTTTAAATATCCTTAGTCAGAGAACTAGTATGAGTTCGTGGATTGTTTGTATTGTTATTGTTTATGTATTTGTGATTATCAACGACAGTGTCGGACCTTGCAAATAAAAAAAATTTTTTTCATAAAGTTTAATAAAATAAGTAATACGACTACTTAGTGTAGTATTTTTTGTGAGAATTCAGTAGACATAACGTGCATAGTAAATTCGATGGAAGTAGTGTGTCAATTAAAGATAAGTAAATATATAATAATAATTGACAGTGAAGCTCACACACTATAAGCTAGCACTATAAGCGAACTGTCGCGCTCGCCGCGTGTCGCGACGACAAATGTATTCATACTTTTGCCAGGAGAAATGTTAACCGGCATATAAAATATTTTTAACTGTCTGCAAACGTAACTTTTTAATATTATTTTGACAAAAGGATAACACTATGGCGAATGATCGTAGCAGTAAACATGCAAAAGAAAAGTGAAAAAGAAATTGTCTACTAATTAAGAAAAAACTTGAAGCTATGCAATATTTAAACCATATAGAAATATAATTACACACGAAGAAATCAAATTACTTCATGTATGGCCTTCTAGAACTGCACAATGACTTGTATATATGTATAAAATATACTGTAAAAATATTGCGACAGAAAATAGTACGCATTAATGCAGCAAAATCTTAAATCAAAAATCAAAACAATTTCTATGTGATGCATGTAAACTGGGCTCTAAATAATGTTTGTCGAGTATTTTAAAATAAGAAGGTAACGTTTTGTGATCACGTCTTGACCAGAGTTCTGTGATCGTGATAAGTGAGATTCTTCATCATTAGTACGAATTAACAAAATTTAAAGTAATTTATTGAATAGAATATAAATAGTTTACCCTGAAATGGTGCAAATATTGCAAAATAGTATTGCTGCATTACATTAAACACAAATATTAAATTCCCCGAAAAAAAGGATTAAATCTAAGTTAAATCTAAAGATGTAAAAAATTGGAAAAATAAATCTAATTAGATTTAAATTAAATTTAAATAGATATAAAGTAGATTTAAATAAATATAAAGTAAATTTAAATACATATAAGAAAATTTATGTAAAGTGACACTTTTATTTATTATTTGATCTACTTATGTAATACTTAGATCTATTATATTCGATCACATCAAATCTGTTCAGATATGCTTAAATTTAAGTAAATCTGAATAATTGGAGTATAGAAGATCTGAATAGATCTAATCTAAATTTAATATTATACAAAAGTTTAAATTGAAAAAATCTATTTATATTTATTTAGATCTACTTTATGGTTTTTTAGATTTAATTTGGATCAACTTAGATGTAATTTTTCATTTTGTTTATCTCGTTAACTTCAAGTTAGATCTAATATATTTTTGTCCGGTTGTACAATTCTGAGTATCAAAGAATTGAAATATTATAAAATATAAAGTTAATAATTTCTAAATTGGATTTTTCTTATTTGTGACAAATAGTATTTACAAAATTTTATTCTGACAGGTGGCAAATCATCTTTTTGTTACTGCAGTTATGGCGACATTTTTTGTCAATTCATGATGCCATTTTTGTGCAATATTTTTTTATTAGGGTAATAATTTATTAGTAAGTTTTGAACTAGTAATACTTTTTGTGACATATTGAACATAGAAACACAATCGCAGAACGTCTGCGTTTTATATTTAAGATTGTTGTAATATTACTTCAGGTACTTTATCTTTTCTGTATACATGGATTGTGTTAGTTTGATTACACAAAATGTGATATGGAAATATAACATCAACCTATAAATACTCACTTAAAAAACTGAACGGGAACAATGTTTACGCAAATTGTATATTTTAATTTACTATTAAAATCAAAGAATATATTCACACATAACAAAGTGGCGCACAATTTGCGCGAAGCGCACTGTGCTGATTATACGCGAAATCAATATGAAACACGAACACTTATTCTTTGTAATTATATCGTAATATCGCGTTTTTTTTGGCGTTTGGTGTAGTCTGCATACAGTGGATTACGTTCCAAAATTAAGCCATGATTATTCTTGACTGCGGTTCGATATTCACTGTCTGTACTCATCACATACAATCCCGCAATGTGATCATCCATTTAAAGACAGTATTTTGACTGTCGCGCTTGCTGCGTGTCGACGACAAGTGTATGGAGAATTTTTCCGGAAAAAATGTTGATCGTCGAAGAGGTATAGCGTATTTTTTTGGAATAAGTGAAAAACAAAGGCGGCCACCGAGCAAGCACTAAACTGCGGAAATTGAATAAAGCGCAGAAAAGCAACGACTTACAAAAGCGTTAGTACACATAGAACGCTCAGTGTCGCTGTTACAAAGAAGAATCAGACAGAACGCGTTCCTTCGTAAATCGTAGAACCGGTGTAAAAAGAAGTACTCCACGACACTTTCTGGATTGAAAATAAAATTTAAAATTTTTGGAATGGCGTATGAACTAGCTTAACAAATCCACTGAGCCATAAAAGCAATAAACCAAAAGTAACCAATTAAAAAATCTAAATAACTCGAAAGCAGAGCTCCCGAAGTAGCTACTAGTAGTCCATATTTCTATAGTCAAAGTGCCAAAGTAAATCTTTCGCAAGTTAGAAAAGATTTACTACATTTACTCTGCGTTCGAAAAGCACGCTATTCGCGCTATTGCATTATTCTATTTTTGTTTTACATCTAATGAGCAATTAAGATAGAAGAATACAATAGCGCTATTAGGGCGCTCCTCCAATAACGCAGCTTTTAGTAATACGAATACTTAGCGTAGTACCTGTAGTCAAACTTACGACAGTGAATTACGCGCTGATATGCGTGAGCGCTTCGTGCGGCTCACTGACGTGTGCCCAGGTAAAGTCGGCGCTAGTAGCTTGAGTTCTTCATTAAGTACTAGTTTCTTATATGTAATGAAAAAGAACGGTTTTACTTCTTCTATGTGCCTACGAGAAATGCTAAAGGTATTGTCGATCACACTGTATATATACATATACGTATATACATATATAAATATAAGTTATATCTATGTATTTTGGGTGTAAAGTGTTAGGTAAAAGTAACTAAAAAGGAACTAAAAAGTAAATACAAACATTATGGATTGCAAAGTACATGACTAACAACACATCTTTATTTTTTTGGAACTATTGATTTAATGTATTTCTGCTGTTTACTTTGTGTGTTACATGACTAGAAAAAAGCTTGCTTGTACTTTACGAACTTAAATAATTCATGGACATAGCATTTTCTTCACTCGAATGATTCGCGGACATAGTTGCAAAACGTGTATATTGCTGCGTTCGAGAACGAAAACACAGAAAATTTTTAGAGCCGTTTTCATGCTTTCTTCTGTTATTATTAACGTAACTTTTATTAGTTTGGTTTTTTACTACTTAGTATTTTGTAAGTAATTTTCATGCAAATCGTCATAAGGTTGCATCAAAAGAATATGCACGAAGTTTAAAGAAAGAAAGAAATTCAGATACAAAAAATAATTTAAATTTCAAATGTAATTTATATGAATTGTATCGTAATTACGTGTAAAAAACGTGAGAAAATGTTTTTTAGTTTTTAAATATTTGTACGTGTTAGTGAAATTTCTATAAGACCATTGTCACAATGCGTGTACTTTTACGTGTGCAATTGCGCGACACATGTGATTAAGTGATTACGCCGTTTGAAGATTAGAAGAGAAAGAGAGAGAAAGAGAGATTGATTAATTACTACGATTACAGAGTTGTACACTAAAATACTTACCGACTTTTCAAGAAAAAAGACCGTGCTTTTGGTTTTTGTTTTAATTTTCTTGTTGACGGCATTCAATAAGAAATTGCATCATTATTAGTTTCTCAAAATAAAGTCGAACAGTGCAATCATGCTTTTAGGTCCCCAAAATATTGTACACGACAAGAATGTAGCGTTTGCATTGTACTTAATAATTTATACGTCTGCAAAATTAGTATACACAAGAATATAAAACTTTTTTAAAAAAAAGTATATGTAATAGTTCCGATCTCACCTTCTCTCATACCTATTTGATAATATAATTGTTTATTATGTTCGTTGAGTGGTACGTAAAACATTTAATAACAACTCTGTATTTTGGAAATGTTCTATAGTATTGAATAAACCTATACGTTAAGAGAAAATACTTTTATTGTTTTTGTCTTTCGGTTTTAGTTTTAAGAATGTATGTAGATGTAACGATAGCATTGAAGTATATATATATATATATATATATATATGTATATATATTGAAAATAAATTTTAAACAGGCCTTAAAATGGATTAAACCAAATGGAAATTCTACCTTATAGCCTATTATCCACGGATAGAAGTGGTGAAGTAAACTCGTTGAAATATTGTTAAATGGGACGTTTCGATCGTTCTTTAATTGGTCGGCTGGCGACTCGTCTCACCTTGTTGACATGTTTTAGCAGTTTGTCTATTTGAAATTTATCAAGGTGCGTATTCATGTTTTAACCATCTATGGAATGTATTTCTTCTCTATTCTTTGTTAATTTTATTATAATTATTATTGTAATCAATGTATT